AACACTTTTCTCCTTAAATTCTATTGGTAGACTGTAGTCACGTTTTTATAATCGTTTTCATAATCGTTTTCAAAAAATTTTTTTTATTTTTTGATGATCGCACCATTTTGAAAACAGCAATAATATAATAAAATGTTTAGAAAATAATAGTAGAGACAGCATAAAAGTGGAATATTGCATCACCTTGACATTATGTGATTTTGTTGTCCTCTAGTAGAATTTCTAAAATCTCAACCGCTTTGTTGGTCTGCTGGCTTTGACTTAAGGTTAGATGACTAACGTTATGGTGTATGAGTTGAGTCGCTAAATTTTTCGTCCGATGGTTCTTGTGACTTCCTTAGTATTAGGAATACGTGTAGTTGTTAATACACTATGCCTTATGCGGTTAGAACCATGCATTTTGAAAAGCGTCTTTCAGAAATCTTCACAGCATATAACTTTTCCACGCCAATATAATAGATAGTTCAAGGGATGTCTACTTATGTAAGAAATGAAACCTGGCAAGAAACATCAACTATAAGATATGTAACTTGGGTCTGTTTAATATAATAATAACTTTGTCAGAATTTACATTAATAATAAAACATGTCATATCATTAAATGGATCGGAAATTAGGATAAGTGGCTATTAGTTTAATAATTAAAAAGTCGGCCGACCCCATCAAAATGTAGAAAACAGAATTTAACTTTTAAGCCGCATAAGTAACTGGCCAAGCAACTTAATGTAGGAGAAAACCGAAGGCGTTGGGGAGATAGATTCGTATAAATGCTGTACTTGATTGGCCGCAGTTCAACCTCCCACATCCTCCCTAAAAAATCAACGTTTAGAGTCAGTAATGCGTAACATTATTATACCAAATTTTTGTTAATCTCGAATTCTTACACTGTCGCGGCATAGTCGGTGTCGATAATTCCACTAGTATATCTGTCATGGTGAAATCTTTCGTTTGAATCCGAAGATCCTTTTAGTAATCTCGATTCCTCTGCCGATTCAAATTGATCAAAGACCGTATCGTTAAAAGTAAGCAAAGTCTTGTCATTCATCTCTATGAATGCTAATAATGTATACAATACTTCTTCAGCTGTTGGTCTCTTTTCGGGTTCAGGCCGCCAGCAATGTTCCATCAAATTCACATAGCAATCCGGGGTGCCATCTACGGGCACAGGTCTCAACTTGTCTTTAATAATTCTCTGCTTAAATAGTGATATATCATCGTCTCTGAAGTCGAAAAAGGCTGGTTGTCCCGAAGAAAATTCCCACATGACTATACCGAAAGCATATATGTCAGATGCTGTTGACTTTGGTTGACCTTGGAGTATTTCTGGTGCCATATACGGAACAACTCCAGTAACTTTATCGTCTTTATCATTGGCGGGACCGGACAAGCCTAAATCGGAAATGCACAATTCATAGTTCTGATAGTTATCATGAGTCCACAACACATTCCCGCTGTGAAAATCTTTATGGATAAAGCCTGCTTTATGAATAGTTTGTAAATCCCTCATCAACGTAGACAGCTGCTCTATTCTTTCACTCCATGTGAGCTCTGCAGGATTCTTTATCAAAAGTTGTCTCAAGTCACCGCCAGACATGTACCGCATCACCAATATTATCTGACTAGTCTCGGGGTTCACTGAAAGTCCATATAATCGATTGTCACGTAAAAATCTGTATTCACACTTGAGATAAGCTGCGACCTGTTTTGAAGTGATCGATATCAATAAAACGTAAGGTTGACGATTTTCGTTTAAAAATAAAAGTTTCATACTTGCCTCCTTTAAATATTCCACCGAAAGTGTTACGGAATTCTTCTGCTCTTTTAGGGCAACTTCCATAGATCCTCTACGTTTGAAATATCTTGTGGAAGTATCGTCCTCTGTTAAACATTCCCAGCATCCCTGTTTCCAAGAAGCTTTATAGACCTTGGCAAAACCCCCTTCGGCTACAAACTCGATATTCGTAAAACTGTCGAATGGAATCCATTCAATAAACTGGTGAACTTGGTCGGCATCTCTTTGTGAATTGAGGATAAACTCATCGATATTGGGTTTCTCACTTGTCCACGTTGTCGATGCGTTATCAGCAATTTCCTGAAAACACCTTTTACATAAATAATATCTAGTGTTCATATCAGCCTTACATTTGGAGCAACGGTAGGCCTGTTCCCCATTATCATCTTCCTCAGCTACGATTCTAAAATCAATGGTCGGAATCATAATCAGGAGACAGTGAAATAATTAGTATACAGGTTAATCCACCTTGGGTACCGGTACGTTTAACCTAGATAAGCGAAGACATTTTATTTTCCCTTGTCGATCTTAATCGATATGATATAGTGGGGTCTGTACTACGTACTTGTCCTACCAATCCAAATTAACGCGCGCTTGCCCAAATAACAGCTTAAATTAATTGAATTAAAGTGATAGCATAGGCTCGCAATCCCAAACTAGTCTCTTTGCCAACATTTAAAATTTTCACAGTGTATGTAAAATAAATAGATAATCTGAATTATGTATTAAACCATACAATTCAGGTTGAATCTGAAGAGTTCTTTCTCTACAATGAAAAACTGTTCGTATTGATCGCGCTAATTTTTAAATTCTAGCAACTTTGTTGTTAAGAAACCATTTGCCTTTGGTGCTTTAAAAAAAATGTAAAGTGGAGTTTGCTAATCATCCTCCTTCATCGAGCCATTGGATCATTTTCTAGTATTGTTATTATTTTATTATTATTAACAAGTCTCTTAATTAAAGTAGATGCGAGATAGCTAACCCCTTTGTTTTGGGCACATTTTCTAGGATATTGACTCCTATTCAATAGTTTACTGGACTTGGACTTTAATTTAGAGCTCATCAAACTTTAATAGAAAGGCAAGGCACATAACGCTAATTTACAACTAATTTTCATACACTGATTAAACATACTTAAACACGTGCCATGAAAGACATAAACGAAGAACCCACCTAATATCTTTTTCTTCTTCCTGGTGGTAAATTGCAACTTGTTTGTCACAAACATTCTTGGCAGATATTATTATTGGTTTCAGGTGGGGTAGGACAAATCTGTGATCTGACCCCTGAGTACTCTTTATATAGGCATGAAAAAAACAGTTGCTTCAACACAGCAATACTAATATTAAGTTCAAGTACTAATATCGATATAAGGTAATTAATGCGGACGATCAGAAGTTGTCTTATCCGCTTATAATTATGCAAGTTGTATCTACATTTGGAAACTGTATCGGTGTAATTAAGGTAGCATAATTTCATATCGCTCTTTTTTATGTAATTTTGCTCTCTATATGACAGACTTAAATCCTGAAGAGTTGGAATCCAATTCCAGCAACACCCACTATTGCATGCATCACGAGGTTGTTCTCATCGCGATTAAATTCTTTACTATCGTCTTCGCGCACCGCTTCTTCATCCCTAAAAAAGTCAGCAACATGTCTAATATTTGAGTGGCATTTTTACAATTACATCTCTCCAAATTCTGCAACACGTTCAAACTTTGCTGCTCTACCTACCATGTCATATCTAAACAAGCGGGATCACAAACATCGATAAACTTGGATGCTTTTAGCTTCACCTTCTTGTCGTCTTCACATGATGAATTGTCTTCGAATCTGATGTCCCATATGTTCAGTCTTTGATCAAGAGAAACAGAAACGAACGTTGAGGCGTTGAGAAACTTTAAACCTTGTAAAGAATAATAAATGGATAGTTGCATTCTGATTATTGGAAAAAGGAGAAGCGTGGATAGCATTATTATATCGTATTCAATAATCAACTTACCCTGAATGCTAGACGCATGCGCGTTCTCGATCCTGATTACACATTCCTCTGTTCTTTCTATTAATCCTTCCCTATTTAAATGTCCTTTTCCAAACAACTCCCCTCCCGCCCAATTCCCGATTTCCATGATTCCCTCATCAATTTTAATTTCTATTCCCTTCACCGCAATTGCATTGTCATCTCCACCCGATGCAAGCAGGTATCTATACCCGTTCACATGAACAATGTCAAATACATTAACACCTGATTGGTGTAGAGCTGATATAAATAGTGGTCGGTTAAGGACATGAGGTTGGTTAAGGGAAGAGGGCGCGGAGGAAGATGCGCTGGAAGAATGTCTTTTAAATTGTTGTGTCGTGATTAGATTAATAACACTAAAATTAGTATGCTGGTAAGGATGTGGGCAATCAATAAAATTAGACCTCTGAACGTTTTAGTCGCATACCTATTAATTACGTCAGATATGTCCCATATTGCAATGCTAACTTGATCCAATTCAATCAGTCAGGATTTCGTGTTTCTCGTACTGTTCAATATTGCACTCATCTCATTAAATGCATCTTACCGTCCATCTGTTGCTGAAGTTAACACAAGGAATTTATCTAAAATAAAAATAGTTACTCATATTGATACTCATTATTATGAATCACAATATAATTAAATTTTACCTTTCACTGCGATACATTTCACTTTTAATATACAATTATCGTGAAATTGTCCAATAGCAACAAGTGTAAAGGAGCGCGTTTTTTCTGTAAATAACCATACCTAAATAAGTGGAAGTTATTTTATCAAACATCTAAACACCCAAGCTAGCCATACGGGTGAATGTAGGAATTCGACTTCCTTTAAAATATCAATGCCAGTGTCTGGTTACCTACTCTGAGTATGGAATCGGAATATCCTGACACTATAACATGTATTCCGTCAATATTGTCGATTGGATGGACAGAAGTAGACATTATACGCATCTCGGGGATGTCGCTTGAAACATAATAAAAAATTGGTGAATAACAAATTCGCTAATAGGAGAGACCACACATACGCACATAATCCTAACCTGATACTCGGACAACTTCCCCACTCAAGGCAATTAACATCAACAAGCAGAGAACCTTCACTGACCATACGATCACGAGGTAGTGTCAATTCTATTTTCCAACAGCGTAGCTCTTCACTCGCTCCACTGGTAAATAGGAGAAGTTCTTTGCCTGAAATTATTTAGAACTAAATGAGTTAGCCATGAACGATCGAATCAATGGCACGAACAGCGCGCAGTAAGATATGTACTGCTTATTGATGTTCACGTCATATTTACGCTTACCCTTACTCCATTGAATACTTCTAATAACAGAAGTATGTTTCTTGACGCAACAGAGACTTCTGAGACCATTCTGCATGTCTCCAGGAATATCTACATAGACGAATTGTCACTATATCAATGCTCCTATTATGCAACGACACGGCATCAATTATCTCTCGTCATATAATTTGTATCCATGTCTCACTAGTATCCGAATTATCAATATTATTCCCCCGAGTTATCATTCCCATACATTGAAATAACCTCAGCAAAGAATCCTCAGCTCCAGTAGCAAATATCAAAGGATAATAGTTGTCAACCGCAATAGGATATTCTACAAAATGCAATCAATTCGTATGAGATAGACTAGAATGGATAATGATGTGATACTCGGCCAAGGCTCTCCAAACCTCAGATTACAATTCAACTTACGACAAAACGAAACACTCCGCGTCTCTCGTCCATGAAAGTCATTTCCTAATTTACATTCCGTAAACGCGTCATTCTTTAAACTTCCTGTTCTGGAATATATATAGACCTGAAAATAACGAAGAAAAAAAAACACAATATCATATATACATATAAGGTTATGATGTTTTGCGTTTCCCACAAGACTTAACATACGCTATTATCTCTGTTCAACTACAATGCCATCTCGCTGCATTTCCGCCAAAACAAACCTTCTCTTTTCTAATAAACAAAAAAGTAGCACTGTCCAACTTCGCATCAGCAGCGGAAAAGTGCCATACTCTGTGTGCACCTCCACAGGCTACACTGAAGATATCGTAGGATTTAGATTGATTGAACACGAAAAAGCGTTTACGATAGAATCCGAGGAGAAAAAGTGCGTTTTCAAAGAGAACTGCCTATCATTTGGTGTAATGGTGGGCAAAATGAGATATAAATAAAAATGGCGTGAGGAACACTTTTTAGTGTTAATATAGGTAGACACGAAGTCGTTAGAGTAAATGCACCTGCTCAAGCCATCCTTTGGTAATTTTTGCGCGATAGACTTCTTCTAATTGCAGACAACTATCTGATTCGCCTTTTCCTTTCCAATGCTTTGCTTTGCCAACTTCTAAATTCTTCTCGGTTCCTTTCACGTAAACATGCTCTCCGCTACCGTCTTTGTCCTCGCACTTTTCTCCGCTATTTTCTCCATGTGTATTTCCGTAAACACTTTTTTCTTTACGTCGCTTTCTCAATGTCTCCACCCCTTTCAATCGATACTTGATGTATTCGCCGTCACGGCCGGTAGTATATATAAAGATAAAGTCATTCGCATCGTCTGTGGTGTTGTTATCAACTGCGACAGGGGGATACTCTAACACTATAGATGTCAAAGCTTGTCTACGATGCGTTTTACATTTGTATAAGATAAGATACAAAGTAGGTATTTGTGTTGAAGATTGCATCGCGGCTGCTGGACATTCGTTGTCATTCTGTGAACTTTCTTCATCCTTCCCTTTCCTTACTTCTTCGCACCCTTTGGGAGGAGGTAACTGATAAATACCCAATCCACCTTCCCGTGATCCACAAAATAGTAGTCCGTATTGAGATGAATACGCTGTGGACATTAAGAGAAAGCGAGGAGGAACAGCTAGTTTAAAGAGCGGTCTGACGTGTGACTATTGTTGATAAAGCAAAATATAAGAAGTCATTCACAAAATTTGTGCACGTGTCAACACGAAACCTTTCTAACTCAACATCATCGAATCTCACACCCACCCCAAAAGACCTTCCATCACTTCGTATATCTTACCGTCTCACATTTCAAATCTAATTCCAGCACATAAATGTCATTATGTACAGCGTGAGATATTATATATAGTATGTCGGCAACTATTCAATTCCCGTTAAGTCAGTACATGATTCGTGGAACTCTTGAACAGTTAGTCGACTGATTGTGCAAACAAACCATTCGTGTCCAAGATAAACAGTTCAAACACTTTGTGTGGATGAAGATTTATCCTAATTGGCTAAGGGACGTAAAGGAAAAATAGCATAAGTAAAGGCGATCTGAGTAAAGGCGATCTGATACGAGAATTGATCAAAAGACATAAAACAATTGTTGTCATATTTGCTACTGACAATGACTTACGTCCAAGATCAATCGAGAATTTATCGCTAGTCATCCTTTTTTTCACAAACATACCTCAAAGACATGTCGTACACTAAGGATGAACACTTGTCCATTAATGCCTCCACAACACACAATTCGTCCGCACTTTGATGCTGTCATCATATTGTAATTCGATAATTCTGTAGAATAAAATATCGGCGTCCAAGTATGCGTTTGATGATTGTGAAGGAGAATATGGCTATGACAGAAATAAATAAGAGGTCAGACGTCAGGGTTATCACGTCAAACTCTAAGAACGCTCCATGTACTATGAAGGATAATAACAAAAAGAAAAGCCAAACAAGTCGTTCTTTACCCCAAATTAGTTCCAATAACAATTTCGTCCATGCTGACGATTACGCAGTTCCGCACATATTCCTTGGTTTCCGATTTTTTGGGGTTCACACAGTCTACCTACAAAAAAAAACCAATACCACACAAAGCAAAAGGAGAAAGGAAAGGCATTCTATGTCTTAGATAAAACCGCATAACAAGTTACAACTCATCCGTACAGACATAAGGCTAACCTGTAGCTTGTGGTACGTTTCCAGCGACGGAAGTGGTGCACATATCAGATCTGCTTCAGAGTCTTTGTGTATGTAATTGGTTTGTTAATGGAAAGAAAGTCAGTCTCTAATAATATGGAAGTAGATATAAAGTAAAAACGACCCTTAATTAATCAGAGGCAAGCCTGAATGAGTTTAATTCGTAAAAACACACCGATCTTATTACTGCTAACATCCAGCAATGACCATAGCCTGATTCCCGAATCTTGTCCACCTGTTGCCTACACAAGAGAAAGTACCAATCTGGGCCAATTAATTATACAATATATCGAACTTTATTCCGTTCAGCGTCTTTCTTTTATTCCATCCCCTCTTTTTCTTATATACTTACAACAATTCCTTTCTCCTCACAGATACTCAAGCTCCATACATTTTTTCCAACATGTCCCTCCCAGCATGCAAGACAATCAATGTCAAGCGCATCTTTGATATCGCGAACGTTAACTGGATTCTGCCACACGCGACATGTCGAATCCTGATTTATATGTATAAAATTTTGATCAATATGAAGTCGAATAAATACAAGAAGAATTATATGATTATTGCATAAATTCATTATTTAAATACGAACCTCGGAAATACTAACGAGATAGTTGCCCACTATCTGGCAGTCCCATATGCGCGCCGTGTGACCATATAAAGTTATTGGTTTTGTCCTAGAATAAAAAGTCCAGGTCTATGATTGAGAAACGAATACAACAGAAAGATATGCCACAGTTTCAAAATTACAAATCTAAGCCATAGCGCACTTGTCATTAACGTCGGTTTTCCAGACACGTATCGTACGATCATCGGAAACAGATGCGAGAATAGATCCATCAAAACTAAACCGTACATTAAAGATAACACCCTTTGCAAGAATGGCAGAAATCAGTATTGTTTCTAACCTTACTCATCAAAACGACAAACTCATGGTAGACTTCAGCCGTTCCTCGCCATCTTTCTGTCCATCCTCCTTGAGCCATACCTCATGTCCGATAAATTTCTTCATAACAACACCATCTTTAACACTCCACAAATGCACTTCATTGAACACCGTACCAGCTGCCAAGAGCAACGTTTCCCAGGAATGTCCGTAAAATCGCGCCGAATACAGAATGCATCGAGATGAACAAGTAACCGTTTTCACGAGAGAGCGGAAAAGGTAAGTGAATCGATCGACAAAGTTGTGGGCGTAGGCTACACAAAGATGGGGCTGGTTAACGTCCCCCGAAGATTGAGAACAAGGCTCTGAGAATGCAGACTCGTTGATAGATTCTCCTTCGCATCCATACACCCAGTTAATGTCGAGTATCCAATCACGCATGTTAATGGGAGGAGTTATAAATGTGATTTTACATTTTGGTTTCGGTGTGCTTCACGAATTTTTATTGTATGAACAGAAAAGGGTGAGAATTATCTTAGTATAAAAAAATCGTGAAATTGTGAATTTGAACGGTGGATTACTTACTCATCATAACTGAGACTCATCTCCAAAACGCGAACGGTCTTTCCTCCATAGATGACATAAACACAATTCTCGTTTGTTGGAGCTTTTGCTTGTTCATGTTGCTGGGTTTCTTGGGTAGTATTTGTCTGATTGACTATAAAGAAACAATAGGATATAACAGATGCTATATGAGTAACTACGAATTTCAGGTTTCAAGTGGTCATATCTTCCTCAAGCCATCAATTTGCTTTGCTTCATTTCTCTCACCTATTTCCCTTACCGTGAACAATGCCTCTGATTCTCAAACATTCCAATCCAATGACAACCTCTAAAAGTTCTCCGCTCGGAATGTAAAATACTTTAAGTAATGGCCCGTGTCCGGCGAGGAGAATTTTGCTATTATGGAATTTCAGACTAGTAACTGGTCCAACGTAGAGGATGGAGCTGGGCTGTGGTAAGCATAGACAGAGATATTGAATATGACAGTAAGAATCCGTAATAAATCACAACATAGGAGAGAATCAAAGGAAAGGATGTGAATCGTATTATAGACGTGAGTCTATCCGTTTATTGAGGAAATATTCACGCGAATAATCACATCCTACTGCCATGATCAGCTCATTGATTAACGCTAATTCTTTACGGAATTTAACCCTTTGTGAAGCATGACAAAATACGTGCATATTCTCCTCGTTAGTGAGTTACCTTGTCTGCGTTTATGGAAGTCATCAAGAACGGATAATTTGACTTGTGGCTTGGACATGGTAAATTTTACAGTAATGCAACCTAATCATGCTTAATTGACCCAAAAGATCGGGATCGGGTGGTGTCAAAACTAAAATTTTCAAGTAAGGAGCTTTTTTTTTTGTGGATAAATTCACTACCGGAATTATTTCTATACTAATACCTCAAGTTCAACTAAAGGATACTGGTTTCTGTGTCCTCCACCACCATCCTCCTCTCACTTTCCTGCTTTCTGTTGCGCTCGCGTCTGCTCCCTTCCTTTTTAATAGCATGTCCGGTTACTACGAAAAAACATGCACGGCTCCTGTGAACATTGCAATAATAAAATATTGGGGTAAACGTGATGTTTCTCTCAACCTTCCAACCAACAGTTCTCTCAGCGTAACTCTTTCTCAAGACAATCTCCAAAGCAAAACTACAATTCGCGCCGATCCTTCATTTTCCAAAACTCGCCTTTGGCTGAACGGTATAGAGGAAGACGTTTCGGCAAACAAGCGAATGCAAACATGTATTAAGGAAGCTCGTCGTTTACGTTCACTCTACGAGCAACAACTTTTGCGTGATGGCAATTCTGACGTTGTCCCTTTAGCAGAATACAATTTACATATATGCTCTGAGAATAACTTTCCAACGGCGGCTGGTTTGGCTTCGTCCGCTAGTGGATTTGCATGCTTGGTCTATACCCTCGCTCAGTTATATTCGCTTCCCAACTCCACGTCGGAATTATCTCTTATCGCACGCCAGGGATCGGGATCGGCATGTAGGTCGTTGTTCGGCGGCTTTGTCGCATGGGAGATGGGTGTTAACTATGATGGATCGGATAGTATCGCAGTACAGATAGCCGATGAGCATCATTGGCCAGAGTTGGTGGCGTTGATTTGTGTTGTGAGCGATGCTAAAAAAACGGTTGGAAGTACTGCAGGAATGCAGAGCACTGTTAAAACTTCGCCATTGTTGAAGGAGAGGATCGAGCAAGTTGTTCCGAAAAGAATGGAAGAAATGGTTAAAGCGATCAAAAACAAAGACTTTAACATGTTTGCTGAAATAACTATGAGAGATTCTAACCAATTTCATGCAGTTTGTCTCGATTCTTTTCCTCCAATTTTTTACCTTAACGATATTTCTCGAGCTATTATCAAATTAGTCAACGAATATAATGCTATTTCATCTGATTATAAGGCGGCATACACATTCGACGCCGGTCCGAACGCAGTCATTTATACGTTACGAGAGAATGTAGATGAGCTTGCTGGATTGGTCAAGAGGTATTTCATGGGTGAGGAAAGAGGACAAATACCAAGCAGTTTTAGAGTTGATGCTGTGCCGATTTTGGAAAAGGGAAGTGTCAGGCACATCATAAAGACTACAGTTGGCGATGGTCCGAGAATTATAGAGGATGGATTGTTGAACGAGGAGGGGATGCCAAAGAGCTAGAGATTGGAAGACACGAAAATAGACATGTTTTGAGGACTTGTGATAATTTAATTTATTATGAATAGAAAGACAATCGCTGCAATAAAAATACTGTATTCGAATAACAATTATTTGCGTGTGTGTTGATAGATGATCTACGGGTATGTTCACCGAATATCCATCATGGTTAACACATTGCATAAACTTTTGAAGATAGGTTCGCGTTTGTGTCACGACGATAAATGAAATAAATTTATTTATAGTACATGTTGGTGTATTAAGTATTAAGGTTTTATTGATTATCAAAATCCATATTCTGAGGCATAATAATGATAATTTTTAGTCTACAATATCTCATGACATTTTGTCGATTTTTGGGTAGGGAATGGCGTGCGTGGTATGTCAACGTGAATAATTTTTCTGCACCTGAACCAAATTCTTTCAATACTAGACAAGCATCAAGCCATCAAAAGTTGATGATTAACAAAGCAATACTATGGGCAGAGCTTCCAGTATTTTTTGATTAGTGTTAAATACATTTCACTAAATTATAGGTATCTCGTTTGCTCAATTTAAACGAGAGAATGCAGTATGTCTAATCAACCGTATAATAAATAAACGGTTTATGTTGCACCTGTTATACTAAAATTTCAACGACTACAAGCTGTTGTTGAATTAATTTCTTCTATGCTGTTTGTGTTTAATGCCATCTGCTAAAAGTTCTTCTTTATCTGTATGGATCAATTTCCAATGCATTTTATCATATTACTATTACCTTCAATTAGAAGTTTGCTTCATCACTCAACTACAAACTTTATTAGCTTGCTTGCACTATCTAGTTACATTTGCTTCTCGCTTACTCTTTAACACCATATTTCAGTCTATATTCTTCCATATCTTTTAAATGTTCGTCATCTCCACCCTGTTCTCTTATATAGTCAATAATGTCTTCCAGCGTCACAATCGATATAACCTTGATTTTATACTGCATTTCAAGCTCTCGTATAGCCGATTTCTCCCCAATTCCCTTTTCTTGTCTATCAACAGCAACAACGACGCCAACCAATTGAGCATTATGGGCACTAATTATCGCCAGACTCTCTCGTATCGCCGTACCAGCGGTAATCACGTCATCAATTATCAGGATTTTTCCGATCAAAGGTGCACCGACGATATTACCACCCTCACCATGGTCTTTTATTTCTTTTCGATTGAACGAATATGGAACGTCAAGGTTGTGCTCGGTAGATAAAGCGATTGCAGTTGAGGATACTAGCGGAATGCCTTTATATGCAGGGCCAAAGATAACATCGAATGCTACCCCAGAATCTTGAATGGCTGATGCGTAGAAACTGCCAAGAGAAGAGAGAGCCGAGCCAGTGTTAAATAATCCTGCATTGAAAAAGTAAGGGCTGATGCGGCCAGATTTTAATGTAAAGGTGCCAAATCGTAGCGCAGAGTGTTTTATTGCGAAAGTTATAAAGTCACGTTGGTAAGGTTTTAGCGACATTTTGCAACTAGGACAATGAGAAATACAGTAGTAAAATTTTACAGATCACATGATTCTACTATTATCGAGAGCTAACGATCTGCGTTACACGTAGGCAATAAGTTTTACAAACTTCTTCTTGGTCGGAGTATTGATTGCCCGTAATTACTAAATAGCATAGGCTGTGGAAGTCAATTCTCTATACAGTCGCATTTATTAAGACGGCCATATCAAAATTATACACGTGAAAAATACCGGAATGTACATACGATTGGAGGGAATTAATATGTTTATCGCAATACATGTGACTTGTTCTCTCATAGCACTCAGAACTACCTAATACTACAGTACATAACAGAGTCAGGTATTGCGTATAGCATGATATCGAAATGCACTTATTGAGGTAAAAGGTATACAACAGTAATAACAGTGACTATTACTGCATAAACAATAACGCAAGTTTATATGTCTTTCTTTTATACCGTTTATGTTGTCATGGTATCATTAAACGCACGCTCCAACACTCTATATTGGAAACTTTAGACAGTATCAATGTAATCAAGACGATGACAACAACATCATATAGTTATATGGGGGCTACATATACAATATACTCTGCAATTTTGAAAACAATTGCAGTGAATTGCTTAAGATAGAACTGAGTAGTAGCGGTGATACTAAAAATTTACTCGAGATGGATTGTTTAGCCAGAAACAAGGATGTACGTAACGATAATACATCAATGTTAATAATAACGTGCGTGAAACTTTCAGTCTATATTATCGTGTTATGAAGAATTTTATCATTGTGGAAATAATTATCGTAATAAGATTTTCCGTAATTAGCATTTAATATATTATGAAAGTAGTCACGTAAAAAAATAAGATTATGCGCAACAGTGAGTCGATTCAAGCGGTTTGACTTCAATCGTGATTTCAATCGTGATTTAAGTCGTTTGATTTCATAAGTTTTGTTTTTGTATATCATGATAATACCACATATATCACATTTGTCCCTGGGTGACCGTAAAAAATCTACTTGTTTAATTTAAATAGATTAACAATTAAACGACGTCAAGGATAATTTGCAAACACTCATTTAACAATGTTGAAGATGGTGCGCACAAATTCAAATATACCTTACCTGATACGATTGGCAAAAAAGCGAAAAATTGTAAGCACAGACAAGAAAAAAAAACGAACAGTAAATCAGCATACGACAACAGAGTTTAGTCTTTATTACCAAAAGGTAGATCGTCAGACAACTAAAGTATAAAAGACACGGTAGTATATCGCGCAGTAGATAACGACGACCAAACAGTAGCCAGCCGAGAACTGTCTTTATGAGCGTATCCTTTCAGATTTTTTCGCCTGTTCCAGAAGTGTTGGGTCCGTCTTGAGGGCAAGCGTGAAACTGTAGAACAAAACATACACGATTTGAAAAAAACTGCTATTCAAAACTTCAGCGCTCTCAAAGGTCTTGACCCGCCGGAAGACCTCAAAGTCTTTGCCCACGAGTATTTCACCAAACCGCTCAAGCCTGACACATTCCTTAGTTCGCCTGGCACAACTGCCGCGTCCTCACTTGTAATATTACACTACTTCTGAGGTATCAAAGATTGTATTTAAGGCGTTGACTTTCTCATTGGCAAACCATTGTTATTTAACTAACATTGATCCTTTCACAAAAACGGTTGAGAAAACGAAAGCATGGGGAATCAAGCTGTGGTATCAACACCATATATGATATTAACAACTGGGAATGTGTGGCATTTTATTCAGTGGTTGGCTCCCCAGAATACAAATATCCAAAGAATTTGTGTGCGATTTTAAAGGTGATCTGGAATCATCAAAGCAAGTGCTTTCTTATATTATCCGCTTGCTCCATTCTCAAGCAAAGACCGTGAAAAGTCATATGAAGATCAGCGAAATTCACAAAGACTTCGTACCAAATAAAGTCATTATGTTATCAGGACCGTGCGTATTTCTCCGCAATTTTTGCGTATATATGATCGTGGCAAAAAAAAGGCCATTAGATTGTTAATTTATTTATCGGAAAATTCTGCCATTTGATTAGCTTATTGAAACAATCTAAAAATATATAAGCAGTCGTAGTTTCTTTCAAACTCTATCTTCAGTGCACATAGTAATAGGACATTAACTATTTCTGGTCACTTCGTAATTGGCAAACACGATTGTTAATTATTGCTAAAATACGCGTATACTTTGGTGTATTATAACCCATTGTATCCTACGGACTATCGAAATTAATTCCACCGATTTAGGATAGGAGAAAAGAATCTGCGTTATACCGATCGGTTATTCAGAGAAACGTGAGTATAATTAAAGCCAAAGTAAAAGATACGGTCACTAACTGTATTAGTGATTTAAGCAGGAGTAGAAATTCCAATGTTCTCCATGGTAGTTGATATGAATAAAAATCAAACTTCTGATTCAAAACATAATACTAACTTTCATATATTCATAATGCTGATGGTAATAATGAGTCACTCTCATCGCTTTTCTTGAGTAAAGTGGGTAACATTGTACTAATACTAAGTAAGCTTTTTTATGCTCCAAACAGGCTTAATAGTACTAGCTTGCAGACATTCTTGTTATTCAATTTTTGCAAATTTATTTATTGATATGATTGCCAAATTTTAATCTTTTGCCATTTACAATAAATTAGAAACTTGAAATTCTCAATAACATTAACAAATAATAATTAATCTACATTACTAGTTACTTAAATTTTTATATTTTTTTTGATACAATTTATTTAATTCTTGAACTTTACTTTTTAACTTGGATGTATCATCATATTGTAAAACATAAATCCTATTTTGTGCCCTAGTATATCTTTGTTCAGCTGCCTTTTGATATAGCTCAAGTGCTTTGTGTTCACTTTGTTTTACTCCAATTCCATATTCATAACAATAACCAAGATTATATTGACCATATGCATTTCCTTGTTCAGCTGTTTTTTGGAACAATTCAATAGCTTTTTGAATATTTTTTTCTACCCCAGTTCCATTTTTGTAACATATACCAAGGTGAGTTTGTGCAAAGGCATTTTCTTGACTGGCTGCTTTTTGATACAGTTCAATTGCTTTTTTAAGATCTTTGTCCGTTCTATATCCCTTCTCATAATGCTGACCAAGATTGTACTGTCCATAAGAATTTCCATCCTCAGCAGATTTCTGAAATAATTCAAAAGCTTTTTAATAATTTATTTGTGATCTAAGACTACTTTGATAGTAATAACCAAGATTATTCTGTGCATTAGCATTTCCTTGTTCAGCTGCTTTTTGATTCCATTTAACTGCCTTTTGTTCATCCTTTTCTACTCCAGTTCCTTTCTTATAACACAAGGCAAGATTATATTGTGCACTAGCATATCCTTGTTCAGCTGCTTTTTGATACCATTCAACTGCCTTTTGTTCATCTTTTCTACTCCAGTTCCTTTCTCATAACACCACCCAAGACTAAATTGTGCATCAGCATTTCCTTGCTCAGCTGCTTTTTGATACCATTCAGCTGCCTTTTGTTCATCCTTTTCTACTCCAGTTCCATGATGATAACACCACCCAAGATTATATTGTACAAAAACATCTCCTTGTTCAGTTGCTTCTACATGCCATTTTACTTTGTCTGGTTCATTCTCAAAGATAGTAAAAGTCATTTCTAATGTTACAATTGCTACTAAGCTTGCCAGACAATTTTTACGGCGTAAGTCACATGATAAAATCTTTCCCTATCGACTATTTCTTAATTTAGTAACACCGCATCTTACTGCGTGTGGCTTTTTTTTATTTTGACACAGTGTAACCAAACCAATTCTAAATGTTGCAAGTCCCATTGCAATAAAAAGCTCTTTGAAATCAATTCACTATTAGTGTCTAGAGTTGATACGATACGGACTATCGATTAGAACGGAAACGTTCGAAAAATATTGGTACGCAATTATGCGAATAGCGGAAAGCGTTAATCTTTCGACATAACCTAGACTCATCATAGTGAGTGACGAATATTGACTAGTCAAAATACTAAATCGAAGATTAAATTTTAAAACAAATTTCAACGCTTATATTATTGTTGTTTGATGATCGTTGGGACCCTTATTTGGATATGAGTAGAAATACATCGTATGGTTAAATAACTAATTTATTAATTTAAATAGGTCAGTCGAAAGCGTCTTAATTGTACGGCTACCGAAGTAAGGGCGATAGTACGAGTTAAGCTTGGTAACATCCTCCGGGGGTGGTGAGCAAAAGATAATACACATGCAAACTCGTTAAGTCGGCTCTCTCCGAGATTGCATGTGTATCGCTTTCCTACTCAAAATATATACCAACTGTAACAGTAATTTCTGTGTCTCGACGGCATTTAAGCAATTGATTGAATGTTGATCAATTGATGACTTTGTCGTGCCGACTACTGCGGGAGAGCAGAAAGTAATCGACACTTGGGATTTAACTAGTCTCGACGGAGCGTGGC